TAAAGATAATGTGGAGGGAATATAAAGCATAAACGGAAAGCAAGGATGACGAAAAGGGAATATCAAACATATTATGCGACCTTTGATATCCTTTTCCAGTATGATACACATTATATGATAGCGTTTATAGGGACAGTTGAGTTCTTGCTTAAGATCGCAAATGCCTTCAAAGTGCATGATTGTTGCTTTTATTCTTATTTATGAAATTTCGAGTGCCCTTGTAGGACCCCAAATTGCTATGAAGGTAATTTTAGACTCCAAAATGTGTGTAATTTAGATCAAATTCGATGATACTGATTTAGCCCCACTTTCAAAGAAATACGGTGACCGTTAATCAATTGATTAATCAATAGTAACAATACACGGGCCGGCTGGTTGTGCGTACTATAACCAACACGAAAAAGCCAACAAAAAGTAAATATTGACATTGGCTGGCATAAAACGTTTAAGGCGCTATTTCGTTTTTTCAACAGCTGGTTCAAAATTATCGAATATTTGTGGGGTCCAACAAATATTATAAATGCCTTAGTTCATGGATATTCTGGCCGTCTCTGAACCGATTTTGATCAAAGATGATTTAGTCATTTCAATTGTATGCTCTTTCAAATTTGACACTCAGTTTTTCTTTATCTCACAAACAACTTTATTTTGTGTGGCGCCTTCTATACCAAAACTCAACTATCCCTTTAAAGGTACTATGTCCCATTTGCAGGCCCCCAAAAATTAAAAGGTTACATTCCAACGGCATTTGAAAGATAATACTAATTTAAAACTTCCCCAACTAAAAGGGGGGCTTGAAAATGTCTTTAAGTGGGAAAATAACGAATATTAGCTGTTGAATCGACTTAGAGCCAGTAATTAATAGTCTGATTTTCAGACCATTGTACACTCTAAATGAAAACTGCTCAATGTTGAGTAAAATGGTACTCTTTTAAGTAGTCAAAAGGGAACCGCTCAACTTTTGAGTAAACTTTACTCAGCATGTGTTGAGTAACAAATCTACCTATCTGTTGAGGTACTATGTCCCATTTGCAGGCCCCCAAAAATTAAAAGGTTACATTCCAACGGCATTTGAAAGATAATACTAATTTAAAACTTCCCCAACTAAAAGGGGGGCTTGAAAATGTCTTTAAGTGGGAAAATAACGAATATTAGCTGTTGAATCGACTTAGAGCCAGTAATTAATAGTCTGATTTTCAGACCATTGTACACTCTAAATGAAAACTGCTCAATGTTGAGTAAAATGGTACTCTTTTAAGTAGTCAAAAGGGAACCGCTCAACTTTTGAGTAAACTTTACTCAGCATGTGTTGAGTAACAAATCTACCTATCTGTTGAGTAAAAATATTACTCAATAAAAGACTAAATCTCTACTCAGTTTGAATGAGTCAACCTTTACTCAATATTTACTCCGTTGTTGAGCGGTTCCCTTTTTTACTCAGCATCTGGGTAGAAACGTACTCAACTCATGTCGACTAAGAAACTGCTCATGAGTTGAGCCAAATCTTACTCAATTAACGAGTACATGTTTTGACTCAAATTGTTTGAGCGATTTTTTGCTCAAATATTGAGTATGATGTTTTCTGGGTAACGCTTAGTTGCTCAATCAATATTGAGTAAAAACATGTACTAAGTTATTAAGTACATCTTTTTACTCAATACTGATTAAAACAAAGGTGGATTCAACTAGGGTAGGGTTGTAACTTTTTGACTAAGGGTTTAACTAAACCGCTGATTAATATTGTTCTTTTTTAACAGCTGTTAAGTAACCATTATTTGTCAATAGAGAATATAAACCATAGATTTGCCTGATTTCTAAATTTAGCATTGATTTGAAGTTCTTCACTCACACACTATGCAAATAACATAAAGTCAACGACATTTTAAATTCAGTAACAAAATTTGTGGACTTTAATTTCCCAAATCAGTTTGAATCACAGTGTAAACATACATGAAATTAAAAACCTCTTTTGTCTACATCTTTTCTTTCTCGCTTCCTCACTTTGAATTCATAATATTGTTGAGGTAGATGTTCCCCTTTTCCTTCGTATTTTTGCTTTTGTTTTACATTCGGTATATACAAAATTTAGGATAAACATGTGACATAATACGTGTACTTATAATTATGTAAACGATACTGTTCTAAATTCTACTCTCGTTTTTGGAATGCAACTTATATCAATGTGCAATTCAGTAATATGTAACTGCGACGCATGATTCAATAAAAATACCATACCATACCATACCAAAAGTATGTAGTTTAAACATTTCAATTTAAAAAAATGTTACTTTATATCGCCACATCATTCAAGTTTTTGGCATCAATTCTATGTGTTAAATACCAGTAACATAATTTGTGGACTTTAATTTCCAAAATCAGTTTGAACCACAGTGAAAACTCAAAGTTCTCTCATCATACATGATATTAACAAGTATACGTGTTTAATACAAATACAATAAAGTAGGCTAGCTATTACCGGTCACTAAATTAATGCATGCACGCTCGCCCTTATAGAATTGCCCAAGTTCACAATCAAATTAATGACATCGACAGTGACAACAATAATTTCACAATGTTGATCAACACAGTGTCCTTGAAACTTGACTAAATATCACACGGTAGCTCTTTTAATATCATAATGAGGATTTCTTACCTAGAAATGTCGGTTGGAGCTGTTCCAAGCTCGATCCATGAGCTCAGAATTTCTTCCCAATGTGTCACATCTATCTCAGTTATTTTGCATCCACTATGAACATGACAGACAAAGAAAGCAGACAAAACATACAGTTCCTCAGGTAAACAAAGGAACATCCCTTCACTGCTATTATGTAGAAAGGTGAATATGCATGTGACACCTGTTCTACACATATACTGTATATTTTGTCCGCTTTCTTTGTCAGTCATATTCATATTGATCTCTCTGCACGCGCACATGCATGCACGAGACAGCTAATACACAACCGTAGTTTACTCAAAATTGACACAAACGAAGTTCTTACTCAATGTTGAGTCATTGATTTACTCTTTATCGAAGGTAACAAATTACTCGGGTGACGAGTACCACTAAAATTAAGGTCTTACTCCAGCTCGAGTACTGAATTGCTCATTTTGTTACTCAACTTGTTTTACTCGGCACAATTTACTCGCTGACATATGGGCCAAATTTATTATGACTTTGATGACTCCACAAACTTGCAGTGCACACCAATACTTACATGCTACATGATTAACTTTTTCTGATCCATTCCACACCTTTTCTTTAACAATGCAATCGCGTTACTATAACTCACCTTTATCTTTAACTACGATGACCTATTGCTGGTTGTAGAAATAAAAAAAGGTACTTCGAACAGCATGCAATGTGAGCTAGGCAGCGTTACATTTAGTTATCGAAGCATCCCTATCGAGGTAGAATGCCAAAGAACGCTATCAAAATTTCAGCACCTTTGGTACACGTATGTTGAATATTAATTCACCTTGTGTTATTTCCCCTTTGCCTGTCATCGTCCATATTTCTATGGAATTTCAAAATCTCATCTCATCTCATATGGAATTATTTGCCCTTTCAAACGTTTGTATTCATTACTCAAAATAATTTAAATTTCACTACAATTGCGGTGATATTTTCTAATAATTTCTGTATTAAGACTTTTCATCATTTTTTTGCCAGCCAAATAAAGTATATCCCACATTCTTTGTCACTCTCTCTCTCTCTCTCTTATTCGTCTTTGTTTGAAAAATTCCGTTAATATGAATAACATTAATCCCAATAATACTTACAGACGCATTTGATTTTATAGATTAAGAGCTGGTTATATATTAATAGAATACATATACTATCATAATTGCCACTACAAAAATCATTACCAATGGTCAGATATAACGATAATGAACGTCAATTTAAATTTACATTTTGTATCGATTTATCAACAGTTTATCTCGATATTCACTCTCTCTCTCTCTCACTCTTGTGGCATGTAAAGTTGCACTAATGATATGAAGTTCAAGCAAATAAGAAGTCCTACTTAAAAAAAGGAAAGAAATAAACCCACGGGCATTAATATATGTATCCAAGTCACGTATTAACAATGATCATGTAAGGTACATTTAATGGATGCCATGCAGTCATATTCTTGTTGGGGGGGGGAGGGGGGGAACCGACACTTAGGATTTTAAAAAAGAATCAAGTATTAAAGGATTAATTCACACACACGCACCAACATTAACACAAACATGTGCCAAGCTAAAATGATATTTGAAAGGTGGGTTCATTTCTTTGGTATGGTATAATTATAAAATTCTTCATGAAAAGGTGGGAGAGAAAGAGTGATGGGAGGGGAGGGGGAGGGGAGGGGAGCGATGGATGTGTGTGTGTGTGGGGGGGGGGGGGGAGGAGGACAAATCATATCGACTAATTTAGACCGTGTAAGTATTTGAAGCATATATACAAAGCAGCCATTATTATATATATTAACATAGAGCGTGAAGGTAAATAAAAGTATACACTCTTTTTTTCTCTACAAACAGTGAAGACGTTTTTTCGTGTCAAATATATCTCACACATAAACATGAAAGGGAAGTTTCTCAACATTTTCCATTTGGCGTCTGGGTTCACCATCGAGAATACAATGAAGGACAAGTCCAATTATAATGGGTTGTATTATTTACATAAACCTAGCCATTCCTAGGCAACAACGCGATTTTAATAATTACTAACCAGCGTTATCTAAGAATTAAGCATTGTTCGATTTAATTGGACTAGAAACATTTAACATAATCATTTGATACCATTTGTTATTGCACTGTTAAAATATGCATAATGATACATGTATTTAGGCATTACATTCATTAAATGTTCGGCTTGAAACAAGGATTGAAATTAACTTGATTTTTGTTGTTGTCAGTACTGTCATTACTAGATATACATGTAACTATAACTTTTGTCTGGTTTAATGGATAATTAATCCAGCTGTAGCAGTCATGTTAGAAGCAATTCCACTTCATGGAGCTACATCAGAGTGAAAGAAATCAACCAGGCAGTCATGAATAAAGATATACTGCGTCTGCAATTGAAAAGAAAAAAATATAGAGGGGTTAGAATATGGTTACCGACTGAACTGGAACAAGAACGATGAAAAACGACAACGTAGAAAATAATACTGGCCGTTTATGAATCTTAGTTAACACAGTATCATTTATGATAGTTAAAGGGCAAGTCCACTTAAAAAAAAAAACCTACTTTCAATAGAAGCAGAAATTCAAACGAACCAATCAAAAAAAGTCTGAGCAAAATCGGATAACTAATAAGAAAATTATGAATTTTTAATGATATGAAAATTTTTTAAAATCACAAGACAAATTGGCAACTCACTCATGAGTCTGTGACGTTATGTCCTCATTATCCATTAATTATTTTCTTTCCTTATCTTCTTCTCAACCCCACATGCAGCTCATCATTTAGTATTATTTATGTACCCTCGATCTCTCACTTCTTTTTGCCATTGTCTACTTTTTGTATTATGACCGTGTTCTTCTATCTTTGTCGTGTAAAGTAATGTCTTCTCCCTTTCTCGTCTCTGTTGGCATCCCCCTTTTTCTTTTCCCTATTTTGTAGTTCCTTTTGTAGTTACAGATTATTTAATTTAATTACTCATTATTCCTAAGTTTCATTTCAAGTGTTCACACTTGTACAAGCATTGCCTTTTAGTGGACCCCTCTGTTTCCAACATGTATTTCTTAAATTTGTTTTAAATGCTTATAATTGATTTGTAATGTTTTGTTGGAAACATGAATAAATTTGAAATCTTGAAATCTTGAATATAAATTTCCTATTTTCCCCCTGAGAATCACATTTCTTCACACTAGCATCCAAGTTAGATTGATAGTAATGTGTTTTTTTGTGGATGCACTAATATAGAATAATGTGTTTCCAGTTAAATCGTGATAAATGTGAATTTTGATAAACTACATGTATTTCTATAAAAATCAATAATTATGAATATACAGTATTCAGAAAATAGTATCAATTCTTCAAAGTTCGTAAAAGATTTTGTGAAATGTAGTGCACGCAATATGATACAAATCATATAACCAGGGCAAAGGCATGGGGAAAATCAAGTTTTGGTGGATAAAAGGGAAATTAATGGGATTAAACTATAGTGAGGATATGTCGTCACAAAATGATAACTAAATTGGCAATTTGTGTAGTGATTTCCGTTGTTCCATATTTTTTCAAAAATTCATAACTTTGTTATTAGTTATCCGATTTTGCTCAAATTTTGTTTGATTGGTTTGCCTGATTTTTCTGCTTCTATTGAAAGTAAGTTATTTTTGGAGTGGACTTGGACTTTAAGGCCTCTGCACACCAAACACGACACACGGCAAAATGAAACGACACCACGATATTCACGAATTTAAAAAAAAATCACTCTTACGCAAACCTAAAGGCACCGTGCAAACCAACCGTATGCGAAACGGCATCAATTTAAAATGCCACGCACGATGTTTTTTAGCCATTTCGCAAAATCGCCCAGCTAGCAATTTTTGCAGTACGACAAAATGATATTTTGGCTGTCAACCAATCAGCGCAGAGGATTTCCGATGACATCATATTTGTCTATGTTTGGTAATGGATTGTCAGAAACTTTTTTTCTCTCACGCTCAAATCTCTATCGGATTTCACGTGTAATTTTTGTATTGCACCGCACAAAAACTACCATACAGACATGGCCCTGGGAAGCGGGGGTACTGGGGGTGCTGCAGCACCCCCTGCAAAAAAAATCTGGTATGATATATTTAATGTATATCACTATATGAGTCGTTGCGATGTCCGATGTCCGATGTGTAAAGTTAATACGGGCTGGATTGTTGTGTACTACGAGCCGGACTTTGGTGCGTGAAAAGTACCCCTTTACCGGACATTTTGGGAACACGCATGGTATCCATCCGTTCACGGAGTGGGGGGGGGGGTGGGGTCTGGCTCCACTGACCGCCTCTATACATAGACTGAAGACAAGTACGTCGTATGGGATGCCGGTAGTGTGTGGAGGGATTGGGTCGGTTCGGCCGAACAGAGATGAATGAGATGCTACGAGATTTTTCACTCTTTCCGTCTTCATCATATCCACTTCCGCTGCAATACTACACCCCGTTATTGTAAAGATTGTAAGAACTGAGATATGTCGCGCATTAGCGATATGCACAGCACTTGGTTAATTCACAATTTACTGAAGAATGACCACGACAAGTCTCGTCCATTATTAGATTGTGACTAACCTGCGTACAGTGCATATTCATGAATGTACCCGCGATCATGAATTATTTGTAAATTATTACCTCAGTCTGTACTAGGTAGTTCCTATGCATTCTCATCTCACACACGACTCCACAGACATCTACAAAGTCATTATCCTCCATGTGTTGTGTTAGACGGTCCAGTGCTATGTATGTTCCTGTTCTTCCAACACCAGCACTATAAAAACGAATTGAAAAAAATTGTAATGAGGGAAGGGGCGGGTAAAAGTGAGAAAAAAAAACATAGTTGTTTTTATAGATTTGATTTAAATTGTCAATCTGTAGATCCAAAGCAAACACTGCATACTGTGATACCTATTCTGATGAAGGCTATCCGAGGACATAATAAAAGAGAAAAACATTCAAATATATTCTATGAATAGACAATGTAATAGAAGTATCTTATCTCTCTCTCTTTCTCTCTCTCTCTCTCTATATATATATATATATATATACATATATATGCATATGTTTATATATATATACATTTATATATATTTAGTACAATATTGTCTGATAATAAGGTGTGTAATATAACATCTTTGGGACTACTAAATGGGGTCATATTTTATTAAATTGTATACAATATGATCACGAGAGAAAATTTAACTCCCTTGCGGTCCAAAATGGATATTGCACACCCATCCAGTAAATATTTATTATCCATAGCCTTTATTATACGTTGTTATAAAATCAAAGGTAATCGCGATCGAGATCATAGTTACCTTCTCTTTGTTTTCCTTTTTTTTTCTCGAGCAGCTAGGTTTGCACGTTAAATGCTCGAGGCTAAGACAATGCTATTTTTTTCTTCAAAATTTGCGTTTTTAAAACTAAAAAAAGGAGCACAACAGTTGCTTAGTGCGCAAAGATCAGAAAATAAATAGGATAAGTCTGCTAGACAAGATGACGAAACAAAGAACAGACTTGGAAAGAGCGGAAAAGGAAAAAGGAGAACGGAAGAAAATGAGCGCGCGAGAGAGAAGGGATTAGAGAGGAAGAGAGAGAGAGGGGGAGAGAGAGAGGGGGAAGAGAGAGAGAGGGAGAGAGAGAGAGAGCGAGAAAGGGGGGGGACATGTATCATAATGAACGTTATTACCTGCAGTGAACAACAACAGGCTTTATGACGCACTTCTTGCGGATGTGTTCTCTCACATTCTTCACGAAGTCTAACATAGGTTTTGTCTGTTCGGGGACACCATGATCAGGCCAGGAAGTGAACTGTAGCTGGATCACTTCACGTTTCATCTTATTCTGTATATTACATAGAGCAAAAATAAAGTAATAGAATAATTCAAGATCGAGTTAAGGTCGAGCTATGCGATTGCATTGTGAAATAAACTGGGAGCGATTGGTATGAGGTTAATAAGTGCTGTGAGGATTTAGAACCATCAAATAATAATAATAATAGCCTAATAGTCCACTCCAAATTTTATTAAACCGAAACGGAAATTCTTTTTGCCCAATTGATCGTGAGCCCGGCAGCCACTGAGCAGCGCCAGATCGACGTTGCTCTATCCCTTATTGTTGAACGCCAAACAAGGTAGCAACAACTACCATCTTTTAACGTCTTTTGGTATGACGCGGCCGGGGTTCGAACCCACGACCTCCCGGTTGTGAGGCGGACGCTCTACTGAAATTGACCCAGTCTTGCTGAAACTCACAAGACTACACATACATGTGGCACGAAGGTCTGGTCCATACACTTCAGCTATTACTTCTCATAATTATTTTCCACATTTGAAAAGCCATTCTTTTTCAGGGAACATTTTTATCTAAGATAACAAGAAGCTCAGAACTTATTTTTTACTAGTCCAGGAACCTTCTCTGTAAAAGCCCCCTATTCCTCACCGCGATACGTATAAGAATTTGTTTAGGGAGCGCTAGTTTTCATGACTTTATTACCTAGAGTCTTACGCATCTTTTGATACCAAATTTATGAATATTGACTAGAGGGTACTGCGCAACGTTTAAAATCGCCGAGCGCACATTTCCCCCACAATGTATAAAATGCATAATTGTCACTTCGCAGATATGCGAATAATTACTTAGCGATGGTTTAAACACCATTCGAGATACATGAGACATGAAATCTCATAGGTTTTTTCTTTATGAGATACTCTATCTGTATGCCAATTTTCAGAAGCGTACAATGACCAAGCAGGGGGGGGGGGTACATCCCCTCGGCTTTGAGATACCAAAATAACACAGCTTTTTTAAAGGATTTAAGTATAGTATACTTCAACTTCGAATGCTCTTCATCATACTGCTGTTATTGTCATTGTTTGGACTAAACACAATCGTTACAAATGTTCCTTTAGTAACTCATGGAATTGTTGTAGACAGATTTCCTCCCCGAATGTTAAGTCAGAGGCTCAATGTTCACCGATTTAAATGAACATCATCACATTATTAAAATGATGTATCATAGAGCTAAGATGACAAAGAGAGTACCATCATTTTACCTTTCGCAACATGAACGTCCTGGTTATCCAATGTTCATAGTCGAGCTCTGATTGCAGGGAGACCTCTAAACTACCACCACATGTAACCGAATTACCTTTTCTTTTTGGCCAGTATTGATGGCATTTGTCCTGTAAAAATGGAATAGTATACATGTAGATCACCGATAGTTCAACCTCTCTGAAAATACCTTGGAATTTGTGTTAGAAAGGAGTGACAAAATGTGTAATTTTACTTCATAAATGAGAAAAGAAATACCATTTTCATTGTAAAAAATATTGACAGTTCTCTATACATGCTCATTTCGCTACATCGACAAGCAATATTACAAAATTTAAACAAACTGTCGGCCTATTTTGGGTGATATATTGCTTTACTTTGATTTACACTCAAATTTACACTCAAGGAAACAGAATTGTTTAGATGTTACGCACAAAAAATGATTTACATGAGTCATAAACTAATTATGCAATAAACTCTACAACTTAGCTCGAACAAAGATGTCATCTTTATATTCCTAAACATATGTTAGTCCATTTGGATTATACTCATATTATTACAGCCTTTAAACAGAACTAAGGATGGTTTACAGATGTAACCGGTAATGTCATGCATTTTGTTCTAGGAAACATTAAACAAAAGATAATGACGACCTGATGGATAAACATGCCAAACAGAGGTTCTAAATAAAATGCTGATTTGCCTTGTTAGCAAACGTTGAATTTTTTAACCCCCTATGATAAATATGGCAATCTTGCATTACCTTGCCTCCTTCAACAGTCTGTGTCATCATGACAATGATCGTTGATTTCTTCTCCCAGATCATCCTCCACATGTCATTCGTTGTTTCTGGTAGAGGTCCTTGGCATGCGATATATTCTCTCGGTGAGTTGAACCCTGGTATATAGTTAGCATTAATGTAGTCTGTCTCAGACTTGCCTTTCAGTGCCATCAACTTTACACGAGAGTGTTCATCTGAATGGAATGAAAAGACATTACGATTTCGTTATCCTCTCCTTTCTCAAGCAAAACCATATTTGAGGTGCTGTTGATATAGTGGTTCGTTTATTTGATTCTTAATCCAAGGTTGAGGTTTCATATCGCAACCAGACATTAACGTCATTTGGAAATACATTAATCAACATTTGACAATCTCTATTCAAGTGTAAATGGCAATCGATATGCCTATAATAACTTAAGGGCCCATATGAAAAGCAGTATCAATACTGACGAGGCTACCCTGGGTAAATAAGACCCAATCAATATCAATTTAGTGGAAGAGTCTAGGGTTTGCTAATTTGATTTCTGAAAGCCATAGATGAATATTTTTGCAATAGCACAAATATTCTAGCCTTCTGTAAGTGGGTATAGAAATAGGGAAGGTATTGAGAATTGTATTATGATGAATTTGAGTCAAATTCTGGAAGATGAATTATCCTAATGTTTTGTATAGACCCTTTGTAGAATACTGAATATTGGTTAACTTTCGAGTAATAGTTTATCCGTACGACTATCTGATATCCGTTTAGACAACCACCTCCAGAAATTGCCAATTTTTTTCACGAGACATAATAGGACTATCAATTGTTAGTTATTCGATTTGCAGTTACTCGTCATTAGTGTTCATATAGCTCCGTTTAGTCTCATTTGACAACGCCCCTATCGTCAGAGTCAGCAGCCAAACATGTTAGCCTATGGACTTTTACCAAAGAAATCGTTAAAAATTCATTTTTTTTTTTGTTTAAACGAAAAGCACATCCACCCCGACGTACGTTAACACTAGCTCTTTCATTGTAACCCCCGTGTCCCATTGACTTTTGAAAGTTCACCCACCGTAATTTGTGTAAAATAGGTCGCAAGCTCGCCATTGCATATATAACGCATGTGCAGAGATGCCAACCTTCATCAACACAAAAAAGTATTCTTAAGAGCAAAAAAAACCCAGTATTTTCGAAAAAAATCGCCCAATCGAGCAGCTTTAATAAAAAAAGGCAGTACCATGTATCGTAAATATCTGTGCATAAGACGCATCTCTATTTTTTGCCGACTTTTTTTTTTTTGCCAGGTCCGTATGAAAAAAACATGCGGGGAAGGACTTTCATTTAACTGCGAGGTGCAGTTGAAGGCGCCGATTTGTGCTTATGAACTTGTCACAAATAATATTAACACTGTCGTTATTAAAATAATGTGTAAGATCATTAATGCAAACCGTTCATGAATATTCATGTTTTTGCTAAACTCGGCAAAATGTTTGCTTTTACTAAATGGAAAAATTACGGTGGGGGGTTGGATGAAATGGACATAATGAACATAGCAGAAGTGATAATTGATAATTCATGCTTCTTATCCTTCGTGTGCTTGACCTATAATCTTACAATCACTTGGCAGACTGAGTCCAAAGTTCGACTTGTTTCACATGTGTATTATAGGCAATGGCGAGCTTGCAACCTATTTTGAAAAATTACGGTGGGTGAACTTTCAAAAGTCAATGAGACATGAGGGCTCCAATGAAAGAGCTAGTGATAACGTACGTCGGGGTGGATGTGCTTTTCGTTTAAACAAAAAATGATTTTTTAACGATTTTTTTAAAAAAATCGTCCATAGGCTAACATGTATGGCTGCTGACTCTGACGATAGGGGCGTTGTGAAATGAGACTAAACGGAGCTATATGGATTCTGGGCCGATTTAGCTTTTATTCTTCCTAGGAAGCCTGGAATGAATTTAACTTTAGATTCTATTAATCATATGAGTGTTCAGATCCTCGATCAATAAGATCAATCAATCAATCTTTTTCAGATCGCATAATGCCGATGCCTAGATTTCATTTGCCCCGACGCCGTACGATAAATTAATCTACAATTTTTCGTGCGATTTTTAGGGCATCGTAGGAGCTAGCAAGGGGCTACGATGTTTGTCTTTACATTATCTACCAGTATCGTGCCATGTCTTGTATTGGCCCTCGGCGGCGGGCCGGCCAATCCGAAAAGAGGACTGCTTGGAGGTTGAACGGAAATCGTGCAATAGCAGTGCAGTAGCCGTGCAGTCTTCGCAGCCTCCGCAAGGAAATCATACGGAGCCGGTGCAGTTTCCGTGTAGAGGTTGCGCGAGAAGGCGCGGGATTCGTGCAGCCGCCATAACGTTTTTTTTTCCCCTATGTTCACCGATAAATCGTGCGTTTGCTGCACGATCAGCGCGAGGCCTCCGCGAGTGCCCGTGCGGGAATCGTGCAATGCCACGTACGACATGTACCCGGGATACGGGCTTTTTCAAATTGTTATAATTTCCCGCAAAACAAAATCGTAGAGGCCATGGAGCCGGTGAATCCATACGAATATCTCACGGCCGCCTCCTGCCTCCGCACGAAAAAGGGGATACGGGCAGTATACGGGCTCCGTAGACTAATCGTAGGCCAAATACATTTGGCCTGAATTGTAAGCCCGTAGCCTGTAGACATGTCGCTGGTGGCATTGAACATTCCCCGCACGGGCATCGCGCGGAGGACTCGCGCTGATCGTTCAGCAGGGCGCGCCTGCACGGTCATCGCGCCTTCTCCGCGCAAACTTTGCACGAAAGCTGCACTGGTTCCGTACGATTTCTGTGCGGAGGCTGCGGAGACTGCACGGCTACTGCACTGAAATTTCTCGATTTTCGTACAATCTCCGAGCAGCCTCTGTACAAATTTGCCCCGGCCTGTTCCCTAGAGCCAATACAAGAAATGGCACAATGCTCGTAGATAATGTAAACACAAACATCGTAGCCCGTAGCCTCCTACAATATCCCTAAAATCACACGAAAATCGTAGACCAATTTAGCGGACAGCGCCTGGGGCAAATGTAAATTGAGCATACTAGAGTGCGGTAGGCTTTAGTTATCACAACGGGTTAATTTCTTAGTGTGTTACGTTAGTTTGACAGTAAACCGTTGTTTTAGCTTTAGACAAGAGCATTGATTAATCCGACCATCATTCGTATTGCTTTGATTACTAATTGTAAGTAGTAAATACATAGATACTCACACGGTAGTATTTTGTTGAATCTATTCTTTGTCTTGTTCATCTCTGCAATGGTTGCCTGATCCATTCGCACAATGCTGCCCACTGCCTGAATATTCTGTTGAATTAAAGAGGAACGGTGACAGTAGAAAAAGACTGATTAATAATCTATAAGATCATAGTTCTAATTATGTACTTATGCAATTTAGATGATTTATTCACAATGAAATGATGTATACAATTTAATACTCGAAATATGAGTGTACTTACATCATATTCCTTCATTAATCCATTTTCAGAATCTGCTTTCAACCAGTCGTAATGGGTGTCAATATCTGTTAAGAGAATGGGCCTTGTAAGAAAAACAAAAGCTATTAAATTTAGATTTGTTCAGACATTTAATCAGTTATCGAAATTTTAGCAATAAACATTAAACTTGTGATTTAAAGCAAGTTGGGGTAAAACAAGGAGTTGCATCTGCCGTGCTATACATTCTATTTCAAATAACATTTCACTGGAATATTCATTGAAAGAGAATGAATATAGAATTTCTAAACTCTGTAAGATATTATACATTTTTAAGGCAATTAAGTAAATACAACATTAAAAACGGAGGTAGTAAAATAGAGTGAGGTTAAGAGATGGAGATAGTGGTTGCAGATTCTTGTCATTTTGACCCAAGCATAACCATATTAAATTAAAAAAGCATTATTTCTTGGTATAAAGACACAATTATGAAAGATGAAAATGTAATATATTTATATTCCTAAAAACGAGTTTACTAGTCTATTCAAAATAGATAAACATTTAGCTTTTCATTGTTAACTTGTGATCAAACTTAATAGATAGAAATCTAAAGATCAATTTCAGAGTATATATTTCTCAGACTACTTTAAGGGAAGTTTGGAATATTAAATCCTTCGCTAAGGGGGAGTTGATCTTATTACCAAAAAGAAGAAGAAAAGATTTCAATTGTTGTCAAGATGTGGTTGTGTACAAAGCGAAATTCGTAAGTGAAAATTGAGGAAAATCTTTCTTTTACCTGGAGACTCTATTCTTGTGGATGACGTTCTTTTTCTTTGTCTTAGGTTTCGGTGAAAGCTCAATGTAGTCTGGTAGGAAAACATCATCTTCAATTAGAGCTTCTTCGCTGTTTATCGAGAGAGTGTATACATCGATAAAAGATTAATTACAATGAAGGAAGAAAAGCCTTTTTTTCTATTGTTCATGAAGAAGTACTTAAATCTGATGGTCTTAAATCGATAATCATAAACATGTACTTCACCTCTTCAAAACATTTGTAACGAATTTGTTGTTTCACACTTAATAAGTGTGTATATTTATGTAAATTTATGTAAAATATAGAGAAGGCATGGATTCATCTTTGGATTACTCACACGTGCCTTCGCCTCTTTCTTCTGTACACCACTACACATGCACAGATGACAATGGCAATTACAAGCAGAGAACCTATTGTAGCTGCGATGATGATAGGCAAGGGAATTGATGACTCTGTCGCAGAAATATCTACAAAACACGAATAACCAATCAGTATTTGTATACTAATTTAAGCAAATTCATTGATAATGTAGAATGTTTCGTTTTACATGAAGTAAGCATGAATTTGCAACAATTTTGCCAGCTCTGACTTTCAGGATGTTACAATATCAAAACCAGGCGCGTACGCAGGGGGGGGGGGGTGTTTGGGGGGTTAAACCCCCCCCCCCTTTGGTATTTTTATGTGTGTAAACCCCCCTAAAAAATCCCTAACCCCCCCCCCCCCCCCCCCCCCCCCCCCCCCCCCCCTTTTGGTTTTTTTTTTTTTTTTTTTAATTATTAAAAAAAAAAAAAAAAAAAAAAAAAAAAAATACCTCCATGGCTGACCTAAGAAAGGTGACCTTACCCCCCCCCCCCCCAACGGAGCAAAATGTCAATTTTTCAAATTTCGAGACCAAAAAAAAAAAAAATTGTCCTCTTACCCCCCTTAGGGGGTTGGGTGCAGGGAGTGAGGAGAGCTTTGACGCTTCATTAAATTATTAGAGAAAGAAGACGATTCGATGTACCATTCTCGACTCTTAATCCTTGTATTATCCTTGTAATTCATTTTCGCCCATCTCGCGCGAAGCGCGGAAGCTTTCACGTTTTATTAAATTATTAGAGAACTAGATGATTCGTTGTATCGTGTCCTCGTCTGAGAGCAATTCCCCCGCCATCCCGCGCGAAGCACGGAAGCTTTGAAGGTTCAATAAATTATTACTCTTAATCCTTGTCTATAATTTTGCCCATCTCTCGCGAAGCGCGGAAGCTTTCACGTTTCATTAAATTATTAGAGAAAGAAGACGATTCGTTGTATCGTGTCCTTGTCTGAATTCAGTTTCCCCGCGCGGAAGCTTTGTATTTCAATAAATTATTACTCTTAATCCTTGTCTGTAATTTTGCCCATCTCTCGCGAAGCGCGGAAGCTTTACCGTTTTATTAAATTATTAGAAAAGGAAGACGATTCGTTGTATCGTGTCTTTGTCTGAATTCAGTTCCCCCCATATACGATTGTCTCATTTATTTCGTATATATGTATGTATTATGAAAATGAGATAGCAAAATGTGTATATTGATGGTCATCTTGCGAGTAATAACCATGAACTACTCTCATCGGGCTCTCATCATTATTATTTTTTTTTTTTGATGGTGAATTATTGGGGGATGATTGTACAGGCCATCCCCCCCCCCACCTGAATTTTTTTTTTTTTTTTTTTTTTTGGGGGGGGGGGGATATATCCCCCCATCCCCCCGGGATCGACACCCATGATCATAACATTAAACGATTATCATTTGGAAACTTCCTATGGCTCCAAATCACGTGGATATAAATATTAATTTTCTCATTTGACATTGCTATTAATTTTCGGATTTCTCTCAATCGACTTCAAATTGGAGACAGCTTTACGCTCGGGCTTTTAGACTCTGTGTAATGTGTGTGTGTAATTGGTTTTATTTTACAGACGTGTATCAATCAGATATTATTATCTACGTCTGGGGACCGACCTTTAAACGTCACTATCCAAATTACTGTTATTTCAATTTCACTATTTATCCGACTTCTGTGGACCTCAACAAAATAATTGGCTTAATATTCAAATTGTAACATCTAATGAAATCGCAATTTCTTCAACTACAAAAATGCAATGGCTTTTTAAACTTAGTAAGTGGCTATATGACGATTTCAATCCAAAGTGTTTGTCTAATTTCAGAAAGAACGAAAGAAATAAGTATCAAACAATCACAAAGACAACAACAACTACAACAAAATATCTTTGAAACGTAAACCTGCGAGGTTTGTTAATGATGTAGACAGTGCACATATATGCCTACCTGGAGTAGTAAACAAAGCTGTGGTGGTCCATGTCGTGGTCTCATCTATATTTTGACAATAATAAGAATAATAAGATGAAACAGAAGGTTTATGAAGATCAGAAGTCAAAACTTGTTTTCGAGAAGGTTTGTTTCCTGGGTGCATCTTGGTGATCTAAATCAACAATTAATTGGGCTACAACCCACAGAATTGGCGGTCTCTTAAGCCCGTTTTGAGAGATCTGAGACACCTTGCATAATCAAACAATATTCGTACTCTCCCAGAAAAGTGTTGAAATGAGCTGTAAGATTTTTACCAGAGAATTTTTTCTTGAAATACTGTCCAAAATTATTTAATGAGAGAAAAGAGGCTTTTCTTCCTTTATTATATGACAACGTTGAATTACAAATTAACAAGAAATTAATTTAAAAATGTAAGAAGTAAGGAAGTAAAGTCATTTTTACTTCGTTTCGTTGTTGGTAAAACATCTGTCGCATTCGCAGTTGTATTGTCTGTTGATACATGTGATGTAAAGAACACCCAAACAAACAGACAAAGATTAAAAAAAAATATACCCACATACAGAATGTTAAACACATACAAGATAGAAAATGCGTCAGTTATAACTCCACCTGTTTAAGACAATACATTGATATTACTGTATTCTTAATCTTTATCAAATAACAAGAAATTCGATTCTTCATGACAGAAAAAGAAAAATTTTAAATGCAATAAAGAAAGAAGGTTCATATTAATCGCAAGAATAGACACTTTCTTATCAGACTTTCAGACCATTATTATCATTGGAATGGGGTAAAGGTGATATATATTTCACTAAATTATCATTTACGCTAAGAAACTGTTTTTGGAAAGAACTTTTCCAAATATTAGCTTTTTTTGTCGGCCATGTTCAGTGTACTACTCCTTTTGGGCGAGCTTTTCCTATTTGGTATAATTCTGAGGTGAAAATTGGAGGAAAGGGTATACTTTTAAAAAGATGGTGGGATAAAGGTATTCAATTTATAATAAAGTTATTAGATGATTAAGGACATATGTTAGTAAGAGAAATTTTTTTATTTTTTTAAATTCAATCAAAATACAGTTTCTTCATTTATTACGCACTTTGTCAAATTATTAAATGCAAATACAAGTCCCAATTGGAAATTTGCAACAGTTCGGTACTTTCCGTACAGACTTTTAGATAGGATACGATATTTGAATAAAGATTTTGTGAGTAATAAAGCAAATCGACACGGTTCTGATCCCGGGGCCTCGCAGCTACGAGGCCATTGCTTTGTCACTGAACCATCAATGTACGCAGCAGGGGGCTAGGGTAGGGGGGCAGTTCACACAAATAAAACAAATTAAAAAGAACATGCAATAAATTATCAATAATGTATTGAAATTCCCCCCGGTCCGCAACAGAAAAAAATATTCTGTGTGCCCATGCCTTGAGCTACAATGCATGGCCGTACAGAGGATTTTTGTAATAGTAGTATTATCTTTATTTGTATTATTATTATTATTATTAGAAGAAAATACGACGTTACCTAAACATGACTTGATTCATGTGATCTTCAACATGTATGTGTCACCCTCACTGATTGCTACGCCGACATTTACTCCGCAAAACGCGACAATTGCTCCGCGACATTTGCTCCGACGTCAATTGCTACGCCGACACTTGCTCCGCCCACATTTGCTCCGC